TTCACGTCATGAAAGTTACTATATGAAATAAAATTAAATGGCACCGTTCTAGCATTATTGTTCCTATAGGTTCTATAATCATATATTGTTTGCAACAAGCCAAACGATTTTACAGTCCACTGGAGAAACTGGATAAGTTCTCTTGCTACCCAATTTCAGGCACCTCTTGTTTTTAGAGGAACCTCTTGTTCCTATAGTAACCGTGTGGGGTCATGGAAATGACATTCAAGTCAGCTGCCTCGTAATGTCCTGTATTTACTGCTATAGCTTATGCTGTTATTGTTACGGCGAGTATTACGAAACTTGTGCAGGTCTCTGATGGAGTCCGAGGTGAACGAGTCCAGGAAGGGCGAGGCAGGAGAGCAGTCGATATGTCCAGAGAGGAGAGCTCGACAAACGAATCAGAGAACGGCGAGGCGAAAGAGTGGTCAAAAGGTTCGAGCTGGAAAGGGGTCCGAGAGGCGAGGTCCTAGAGCGCAAGATGTCGACGGTCGCCAGTTACGAGAGCTCAGGAGGCGGGAAGATTCCTAATACTGAGCAGTGAACAGGGTGAGCAGAGGGCTGAAGTAGTGAGGTAAGGGGTGCGGTGTGGTAATTGGGTAATGGGAGTTAATTAGGGCCAGCTGCGCTCGTAACAGTACCCCCCTTCCACAGGCGGTTCCCGACGCTCTTGACAGTCGGCCTGAGAAAGCCTGATGGAAGTCGTGAATTCTGGAACCCAGGATCTATCTTCTGAACCATAGTCTTCCCAGTCCACCAGATACTGAAGAGCACCGCGACACCAACGAGAGTCCAAGATCCTATCTACTACTGTATGTAATAATAATAATTGCTTACACTTACATAGCGCTTTTCTGGACACTCCACTCAAAGCGCTTTACAGGTAATGGGGACTGCCCTCCACCACCACCAATGTGCAGCCCCACCTGGATGATGTGATGGCAGCCATAGTGCACCAGAACACTCACCACACATCAGCTATCAGTGGGGAGGAGAGCAGAGTAATGTAGCCAATTCAGAGAGGGGGATTATTAGGAGGCCATGATTCGTAAGGGCCAATGGGAAATTTGGCCAGGACGCTGGGGTTACACCCCTACTCTTTTCGAGAAGTGCCCTGGGATTTTTAATGACCACAGAGAGTCAGGACCTTGGTTTTATGTCTCATCTGAAGGATGGCGCTTGTTTACAGTATAGTGTCCCCGTCACTATACTGGGGCATTAGGACCCACATGGACTGCAGGGTGAGCGCCCCCTGCTGGCCCCACTAACACCACTACCAGCAGCAACCTTAGTTTTTCCCAGGAGGTCTCTTCAGTGGGTTGCCAGTTGTGAGTTGCAGGGTGATATTGCTGCTGGATATCAGTGAGTGAGTTAGTGAGTGATGGGTGTGCTGTGGTTCTTGGGTAATGGGAGTCAATGAGGGCCAGCTGCGCTCATAACAATTACCAGGATAGTCTGGCAGCTTTTTCATATTGCAACTCAAGGGAGAAACCAAATATCAGATGTTTACAACAAGAAAGTACAAGGGCAAATGATATTACCTAATTCACATTGGTCTCTAATTGGAATTTCAATTGTTAGATAAAACTTTAACTTTTTGCATTGAACTTTAAGTGTGAATCTAGATTCACTATGATCTCGAATTCTTGCTTTGTGTAAGAGAGGCAAATTTTTATATTGATATTTGGAGGAGGACACCAAATTAGTACTAAGAATTTGATTGTCTTTGTATACAGTTGGTAGTCTATACTTCTTAAAATATTCTGATTCTAATTTGACACATGAAATGTTACATTTTTGTGGTGAGTTGCATACTGTACTTGTACATTTAAGTGCATTTACAGACTAACAAGTGAGCAAATCATTCTGCTGCTGTCTGTAATGCTCTTCAATATCCAGATGTGCTGCTTACACAATTCTATTAATTAGTCACTTACAGTATGTTCAAAAACCAAGCTTCAACATGTGAACAAAAAGTCACTGATTCCATGCCCTAAACTACAGTATTTTCATGATACAGCTGTATAATGGAATGTATAAGATTATACAGCTGTATAATGGAACTGCTGTATAATGAAATGGTGTATAAGCTGTATTTTGCTTTACTTTCCACTGGAATTAAGAGTAATAAATAAAACTCCCACTTCACTCCCAGTTCACAAGACTGTCTACGCAAAGTAATTCAAATTATAGCGACACGTTTAATAAGGCTAGCTTCTATATCAGCACGTAACATTACACCACAACCCACAATTGGATCAAAGTGATATTTTCAGGACTTTTACTTAGACCCCTATGTTATTTGCCTAAAATACCCTTAAAAATACATTATATAGTAATATTTATTAATAAATACAGCATGTACTGTATCTGTCATCACTTTTTTAATTTTAATTTTGTAATTCATGAATGTACATACATACTTTACTTATGGAATAGCTAGAAAAGCTATAAAATGTATTTCACATTATCCTTCAACATCAGATGCTTTAAATTCCAATCAATAACAGAACAGCAGAAATCGTAATCCTCTGGGCAACAGGAAAGCAATTCAGTTACAGGAACTCTCCATGGTCAATACCATGGGTTCAAACTCATGTGATCATGTGTAGGTTTGGAGTTGACAGGCCACTGAAAAAATCCAATGTCTGATTACAAGACAGGATTACAAAGCCAGCACAACAGTATTTCTTTTAAAAAAATGCATTTTGACATCATGTCAGACTGTTTCTGATACTAATATGGCCTGACAGGTAACAGGGCTGTCTAGGAAAGCAGCAGGATGCCCAGATGTTGCAGGTTCTATAATGTAAAACATATTGTACAGTACATACTGTAGAGATGATGTGCTGTGCAAAACTTCTGTAAGGATCCTTTCATGTTAATTCAATGAAATGGTAAAAGTCAAAGAATTACAAAAACAAGTTTAAATATTTGCTTGTATTTTAAATCTTCAGATACCACTTTTTTCCATCTCCTGCACTGAATATCTATTTTCTATGCATCAACACACTTCAGGGCTATAGAGAGAAACCAAAACTCAACTGAGTGACCACAATTAACAGATTTCTTTTATAGAAAAGGCCAGAACTGAATAAAGAAAAAAAAGTCAGTGGTACTGTTTACACCGTGGCAAACTTCCTGAATCCTCTTCACACCTACTGTAAACGAGCACATAAATAATGACCACTGACAGGTGGTAGTTATTGAAAATGGAAGTAGCTCAAGAAAACATTTGTATAAAAACTGCAGCCAGACGTATTACGAAGAGAATAAAGAAAGACCCTGGAGGAACAGCAATGTATTCAGGAGTCACATTCAAGGTCTCTTTCATTCCTTCAAAGAGACTGTTCTCTATCTGAAGAAAGAAAAGAGCTCAGACACAATGGAAATAACAAAGACTTTTAGACTTAATCTTTGTGTGAAAGCTCTATTGCCCACAGAACCTTAAAATTACCAATTCAAAATGACATGACACACTAAAGAAATGCACTGTGAAAAATTTTAAACCACCAAGAAATGTATTGGTTCAAAGCTTTACGATGCCACCGGTTGTTCGACGTACTATGATAACACAATAACATTTATATTTATACCTCTATTCTAAAGAGTAGGAAACTGATATATAGTTCATACTGCATTGGCATTATAATACCTATCTCTTCAGAGTTCAGAAGATAAGCAGTGAGCCTAGTCAGTACTGGGATGGGAGACCTCTAAGGAAAAACAGGCTTCTGCTGTAAATTGCTTTAGCTGTACAATATGCAGAGATGTTCCCTCTGGATCAGAATTTCCAAATCAATTGCCTAGTTTGGAGACTTTGAAGGGTGCCGTACAGTAGGAGATGACATCCCACAGATGGGAGGTTAATGCAAGGTCCTCACTACTTGATTATTAGTGATCGAAAGTGATCATTTAAGTCGGACTGTCAACCCCTGTGTTGTGACTGTCCACTCTGGGCCAGCACAGTTTGACCTATCTAATGAACTGGTGGAGTAGCCTCTCAGTTCTCCATCTGATCTGCTCTGTCATGAGGCTACTGGTGCAGAATGGTTGCCACATGTCACCCAGGTGGGCACTGAAGTTGGTGATATTTGGACCACATTCCCACCTGCATATACAGAACTGTGGAATCCCTCAGGTAGAAACACCATATACTGAAAAAGCAAGGAACTAAGACTATTAATAACTAGGAATTTTCTTTTTTTATTGCCTGAAGTGCTAATGATACTCAATGTATTTAAAAGCTTTTACTTTTGTGCCTTTCACGAATGTATAGCTGTGCTTCGATGATGATTTACATTTACGGTTTTTTAAACAGTTACTAAATCTGCTATATTTTTCTACATATCACGACCACAAACTACTTCAAAATATAGAGACATGTCCATTTACTATGTAGGCGTGTGAGTGATGCACCATCAGGTTTTGAGATTATCTTCATATGCCTATACAATAAATGGGTCGAGAGCAAATTCCCTGACCTAATTCAAACCTAATTTCAGCTGCCTACGGATATGGTACCAACAGAGAATCAGTGAGCTACTGTATCTGAAATGAAAGAATTGAGCTACTCAAGAGAGATGGATAGCATTCCTTATCATGCCTCCATTATGGTTTAGCTGCCAGTTACTCTTTCTCTATCCTTGCTTATCCAAACACAGTATACTTTATACAGTAGACATGACAGGATATAACATGATGTAAATGAGATTACAATGCTCTAAAGCTATTTGTTTTATCTAGCTTCTTTGGTGACTGGGTCAAGTTGATTACACAGTCTTGTCCAGACATTAACAGAGCAGATACTGTATTACCCCCCACACACACACAAGTAATATCAAAAAGAAAAAAAGATAACGTTGCTTACACATGAAGTAAAATTCATTATGCGACAACGCAGCAGCCAAATTGTAAAAAAATGGTGACTTGGAATGGGGTGAGGTTCACACACGACAGAGTGCACTTGAGACGAAAGCATCGCTCAACACACTTCCTACCTGATATGCTTGTGGAGACGTTCACTTCAGAGTAGAGCCTCTTCGTGGGCACAAAGTCTGAAACTCCATTCAGGGCTTCCACGCAAAATGTGTAGTTTGTATGTGGTAAAAGATTAATGACTGTAACGGTCCTTTCAACCAATCCCATCTGCTGAGGCACAAATCCAACACTGCTGCCACAGGGCTCACACTGCCTCAGGGGGCTGGAGCACCTACTGCACATGATGTTGTAGGTGACATCCGTTCTCCCTCCAGAGTCTTCAGGAGGGCTCCACTCTATAATGAGTGTCGACTGCTTCATGCTGTACACCAGGCCGGTGGGAGCAGATGGAGGCCCTAGAAGGCAATAAATTGTGTTTCTATAGTATAGTAGGTCTTTTTCTGTAGGGCATCCTAATGTTAGCCTACATCAGACATTTCAAGTTTCATGAAACAGCATCAAAACAAGAATAAAACTATGCTAAAGTGATAGTAGCCACACATATTTCACCTGTTGGTCCATCAAGAAACTGTCATAAAATATCTAATTTTCTGCTTGAAATATAATTTTGTAATGGAAGCCCATATTTTATGCAAATATGGTTTATATATCTATCTGCATATCAGCTTTTCAGCTTTTCTTATGTAATATCCTTATATACACTGTTTTATTATCAAGCTTACTGAGCTAACTACTGTATGTGCTGTTTGCTGATGGTTCAAAGTGACACTCATAGATGTGAAGTTCAAACACAACAGAACAAGAGCTCTTAGTTACCAAACAGAGCCATCAATTAAAATAATTTGCTTAATTATTTTTTCTTATTCCTTTTGGAACCGATTAGGATTTTTTTTCCAGGCATCCTGATATCTTCCAGTTTTGGAGCAGGATACAATTAAAGTTTCATAATTAATAAGATTATGACTGTGGTTCAGTTAAACGTTCCATTAAACACACAAAAAGATGGCCAGATTTAAAAACCAGAAAAACTAAGTCCAATTGCCCAATCTGAAAAATTTGCAAAGAAGATAAACTTAAATGAACTAAATGGCCCATAACTCAACTACAAGCACAAAGCCCAATAAATAATTTATTATGTTTTCTGTTTTGTGGCTTCACTCAACCAGCAACCCTCACCAGGGCAGTGGCGAGTTGGAAATGGACCGTCTGCACTCATATCATATCATTTGTGTTCTGAAAGATGTAATCAAAACACACATCAGGCAGGAGCATGGAAGGTATTTGGGGCTCTATAATTAGGAACATGTGTAGTTCAATGTAACTCTCAGCTGTGAATGCAGACCAGCTGGGCATAGAGCTGATTAGGCTCCATATAACCATGGAGGAACACACTTTCAAGGAAAAAAAAATCCATTGCCATTTTTTATCAGATTAATTGCATTTTTGCCCAAGGATTTCTGCTGGAGAAGATAAAGCTAAAATCTACGCAGATGAACACAGCACCCCAGTGCTTTTCCCAGCCGTCTTCGGGCTTTGGGACTGACAAGACTTGTTTTTTTGCTTTGGATTTCATCTGCTCACTTCCACTAATTATTTGGTTAAATGGTAAAAAAAAAATCACATTTCTCTCAGGCTTTTCACCTTTCATGGTTTAACAGTATTTCAAAAAGAGAAGGGTTATGGATCTCAAGAACAGGACCTGGCCAGGACCATAAAACCATCTACACTTTTCAATGTCCGTTCAGTATATGTTAGCACTGCTAAAATAAAAAACATTAATATATTAATAAAAATAAAACAGCTGGGAATTGTCCAGGGCTTCTAATACACTTATAGACATAAGCCTGCTTCTTTAGTGTCTGCTGCTGTGTATTTTGTACAGTATGCTCCTTTTTGTGCTTCAGGTGTCTAGTATACAGATTCTCTGCAGGTCACCCAGTGTAATTTAAACACATACAGTTTTGTGGTAGGTTTAGTGTATGTTCATCCATTGGGGCAAAAAATACACTTACTGGTACATGCTGATGATGGGGAGTCCAGTGAAGTTCTGTAGTAATCTTCCTCACAGACACAAAGAACAGACCCTTCCACCACAGAGAAGCTGTGTTTAGGGCAGGGGAAACATTCCTGTTGTCGAGAAGACATCTTATACGATCCAGCTGGACAAGCTGAGGGAGACACAAGCAGGCAACAGTCAGTAAGATATTCTGAGGAACTGTCTTCTCATCAAATATAACAGATTTTCCTAAACTTGATTGCAGGCAATGCAAATGAGAGTTACAAGATGGCCTCAGGTGCTTTCTGGCATAGACAAACAAAAAGAACAGCTTTGCTGAAAGCTGAACTGGAGGAAAGGTGAAAAGAGCTGTCTCTTGGGTGTATGTAGCCCATCTTCAAACACAGAGAACATCTGCCAGCAGGCAGACATGTTGGCACAAGCTACTGTAGTACTGCAGGACAGGTACAGACAAATCCCGTCCCCTATAAGCAAATAAGCAAGTCACAGTTCGGCAATGATTGACAGTATGAGAAGTGGTCCTGGTCCAACTGTGTCAACATAAAACTTTTTTATAATTTGGGAGAAAATCCAACTATTCCATTTTTAAGTAGGGGCTCTTACTAATTTGACCAATCAGTGCATTAAATAGAGGTTTAAGAAAAGTCTTTTATCACAAACAGCTTGAGACTACTGGGAAAGTCAACAAACACTTTTCATTTTACCATTCAAAGGGAAGAGCCAAAAGAAGTTATTATCTTCATGACAGTAATAAGCTCAGGGTAACACACTGAAATACTGACTGACCTAGGGTTTGTTCCATAAACCCCCCAGTAATAAATCCCTTCCTTTATCCACTGAGTGACAGGGGGCTACATGATTACAACTTCAGACTGAAGTCCAGCTGCCAGAATTTCTATTAACACTACATACTGTATCTGAAAAATCTTTCACATAACCACAGTACATTTTTATATCTGTTATTTCTTGATCTTCACCATCTATTATTGTTTATTATTGTTTTACAAATGAAGCTGTTTTAACTTTTTGACTTCTAATTTTAACTTCTTTCACAATATCTGAAAATTAGTTGAGAAGGGTTTCTGATTCTGTTTCAAATACTGTATAGTACCATTGCAGGTGGATCCCCCGTGGACACTGACTATACAGTGGGTGGATTACAGTCAGAATATACAGTACCAAAGTCTAAGATACAAGAGCAGTGTTTAGAGAATATTACCATGACTGCTCTATTAAATGAGAAAGGTCTACCAGATTTTCACAAAAGTCTGTGGAAATAAAGGATAACTCTTCTACCAGGTCTTTTAACAGGATGTGAAATCTTTATAGGAGCAGCTCATGTGGCCTCACCTGCTCTGCCAGTTAGTGTTTTTTATAGGTCAACCACTAAATGCAAACCTTTAGGCTATCTAAAGTGACACGTTAGATAATTCTGCTGTTGCCGTTATTGATACAACAAAATCGATGTCACCAACAATCATCCCTCTTATAAGGTCAGTAGCACCAAGGTCAGAGAGGATATGTTAAAGCATGATAAAACTGCAGTTCTTTTCTTTCAGAAACCAAGCATGTGAAGGTTTTTAAAACACACACCTCAGTGGGAGGACAGAGTGTCATCTTCTCATTCACTTCAAGACATTCTATAAGAGGTCTTACGAGAACAATCTTACATGCATAAATCTTTGTCATATACAGTATGCCAAAAGAACATCTTTTAACACATAACATACAGTATACAAACTACCTTCTGTGCACATATTCCTCAGCAAAACACCAGCAGTCAATGTGGTAGCCATTTTTAGCTCTGACAGGAGCCCAGAGGTCAGGAGTACTAGTCTTAACAGCTGCACGAAACACACTGGAAGAGATGATTGCAGCTTTTCAAATTAATTCTACATGGTCATTAATCAATGCTAATACATTAACAGCTTGTCACAGGAATTTGCCGGTCTGCAGCTGTGGTTGAATGTGAATGAATGTTGCTAAGCCAAGTTCTTAGCTTTCTCTCCTAAATGTCTACCATAGTCAATAAGCACAATTATTCCATTTTACTGTTTTCCTTATGTTTTTAACACACATTTGTCTTGTTCTCATTTGTTTTCTGATGCCCATCTGTTCTCAAAAAGCTACTTATACCTGGATGTGACACCAGTACTGTATATTGCATGGCACACACATTGGAAAAGCAAATCCAAAGTATCTGGATAAAACCAAATTAATACAGGTAGAACACCCAAACTCCATACAGAAGACACCCCAGTTTGTAATGAAGCTAAGGCCCAAGACCTGTGAGGCACAGGTGATACTATATCGCTTTGCCAAATTTTATTTAGATTTATTTTGAACAATGTGCTTTCACTGTACTTATGCACAGTATTTGTTGGTGATGACAAAAAAAAAATGTAATGTACTGTACAGTACTGGAATATAAGTAAATAAGTATATTGTAAAGTACACAAGAGAACCCCACTTTCTTTACTAGTTTCCTCTCTGGTTAATTTATAAAACATTTTGTTAAAACACTTTTGTGCGCTATGAGAGTGGGGTCACATTTCACACAGTTCATTTCTTTGTGAATGCTGTGCAGTTCTCTGCCCACATACCATAAGAGTTCAATGCTTCTTTAACTGATATTGCCTGAGTGGAAGCAGTGTGCCACCAATCAGTAGAATCACTCGTTTCAATTAAAACCATTTCGGAAGTAGAGGCATATCATACTGCATTATCAGGTCTGCTTGACAACGTACAATATTCTAATATGTAGCGGTAGATTTATGTTCCACTGACTGAAGCACTCATTTCATCTGATAATGAAATAAGGCTTGCAAATATTTAATACTTAGAAAACAAAAAAGTCTGAATGCTGCAGTATAGATAAAGGGACATGAAAGGGAATGTAATTAAATAATTTAGAAATCCAGTCGTGTGAGCAATCTCGACAAGCTGCAGGCTACATCCATGCAGCACTGCAGACCACATAGGAAAACTTCGATTTCATTTGGCTCTACTGTATGTGTGCAGCCAAGTCTTTTCGTTATCCCTACTATGCAGTTTCTTTTTCTTCTGTCCCCAAACACAACACATCGGAACACTGATTCCCCTTGTTATATGGTATTTCATTATTCCAGTGTTTTATTTTTCCATTCCTCATGTTTCCTCATTCATTATTAAACAAAGTCGGTCAATAGGCTATATCGAACACATTCACCCTGTACTGGAAAACTATTAAAGCCACAACAGACACAACTGTGCAGTTTAACTTCTGCACTCAGCCAAACTGTCAAGTCAGAGCTCACATTCTCAGATTGAGGACACTTGCTGGTAGCCACACTACCAGTAATTCCTAAATAATTAAATTAATTAATCTAATAAAAACAACAGAAAACAAAAGTAAACAAAGACAGATCACAATATTAAAGCTGGGGTGCATTTAAAACTATATGAGAAAAAAGTTACCCTGTGTTTGACCAATTAAAATGTAAAAAATAATGCAATGTTATCATGCACAAAATAACATTTTCTACAATCTTAATTCTGGACTATACATAATAATATACTACCATACATAAAGTTCATGTTCATGATTAAGCAGGAGAAATCAAGTTCCAAATTACATCAATTTCTCTACAACAACTATGCAGCACAGCACATGATTGTACAGTTGTCACTATCACAATAAGGGGTTGATCAATTTTACACAGACTGACAGAATTTTAAATGTTTGTGAATTCAGATTTTTTTTTTCACAGCGAGGTATCGTAAGGTATCCATCTATCCATCAGCGGGAAGCAATTGATTCTGCTAATGGGTGCAAAAACATAAAGCCTGTATCTGAAGCTCAGGGCACCAGGAGGGGCTACACTCTGGATGAAAGGTTAGTTGATCACAGGATACAGATACAGTACATAGGGAAAGTTTTGAGACTTAATACAATTTACAGTAGCATATCTTTGGAATTTGAAACGAAACAAACCTGAAAGAGAACAAACAAAATGCACACAGACGTCCCCAATCTGGAGCTGAACCCAGGACCCAGCACTAACTAGCACGCCACTGTGCAACCCAGAATTGTAAAATAATGTTTCAGTGTCTACCGGTTATCATTTAGGGTTGGCATCCCAGGTCCATTGTACAGTATTTCTGTTGTACACTAGCTGTTGTATTTCTACCACTTATAGTAAAAAAATAAAAGAACAATGCATCATGTACATTTCAATAAGACTTCTGTCTCTGAAAACAATATTACCACTTTGTTTGATATCAAAAGTTAAGTAAGGTTGGAACTAATCAATACTGGGATGGGGAATCAAGATTGTTACAGTACATAATGTTTATGGAACAGAAAGCAGCCTGGTTCCCTCTGGACCAAATGTTTTCAAAGAAATGACCCAGTCTAGTGCTATCCTGTGGAAGAGATGGTAAGAGGTCCTAAATACTTAAACGTGGCAATTGGCACAAATAGGGGCTTGTCCTAATGTCCCTGTTAAATGTCACTCAGGGCTTGTGCAATCTGTCCTGCCTTTGAATAGGTGAAGGAGTTTCACCTCTCCACCTCAGTGTATGAAGTGAATTCCTTGTGGAACGCAATGCACTTTGGGTTCCTTCTAGCTGAAAAGCACTATATAAATCCAAGGAATTATTCCTACTTGTATTGCAACTGTCTTAACAACAACAGTTCTTGTATTCTATATTCTGCTTTTCTCAGTAGACGATTCCACAGTTAGCATAATGGATTCCAGAATCTTTGCTGGCCCCGTGTTATATATATTTCTGGGGATTGTCATATACTGTACTATATGCACAGGTTACATAGAACAAAATAAAGAATCAATGAGACTGAAAGGAGATTTGATCAAAGTACTGTATATACCATCTAAGTGGGGTATAGATAGGGGACTGTCTCCCACTCAGTAATGAAACAAGGACATGTGCTCACAATTGTAAACTAAAAGCGAAGTACAGTAATTCAGATGGAGAAATAGAATACTATGTCACACAAAATATTAGGTAAAGTACAAACCCTGAGCTTTGAGAAATGGCTAGCTGAGGCTTTTGATTCATTTACCCACTAAACCACCAAATGTGAAATATGGGCAGATCAGTTAGCAACTGTTCTTGTTCTTACAAAACTAATGAGCTTCCTTTTCAACT